AATCTACCTATTAAATGTTAGATTTACCTACCTACTAAAAGTTCACTGAATTTTGATCTTTGAAGACATCACTTTTCTGAAGACAATATTGAAAGAACATTTCATTTCTATGGGATTTTTGTGGGTGGTACTCTGGAGATTTTTAGTTGTCATTTTGAGCATAACATTCTTACTGCCAAAAATATAATTATCAGATATTAGTTACTAGTTCTTTGAGGAAGTAAATGTTGGGGAGGTGTGGGAGAATAAATACATCTTTTAAAATATTTTTGTAATACAACTTTATTGTAATAAAGTTCAGGACTGACCACTGACTAGAAGGTATTTCTGTATGTTGTAAAACTATGAGTTCACAAAAGAGATCTCAGTATCGATTTTGTCTCCATTAAGTAAATACAAAAAGAAAATTGAAGTTTGAATAAAATGCAATTCATCAATGTTCCACATCTGATTGTTATTTACTTTCACTTGTTGAATTTACACCTTAACCCAACCATACATATCTATCTAGCAGGTGTGCAGTGAACACTTACATTTCATGGTCAGAACAGAATCAGAAGCCAAGGATACTGACCATCTATTTGAATGAATCTATATCTACTGCCTTGTTTTGATTTATAAGAACTATCTGGGAAAGATAGGAACTTTGCTGTTTGTGTAGTAATAATATAATAATTATAGCTGTTATTTTGGTGAGAAAAAATGATTTCCTACAGTAAAATGTGAATTTAATATTTTAAAAATAAAATGATAAAGAACTATTCTTCATAATCATAGAAAAAATCCTTAGTTAAATATAGGCAAATTCAGTGCAATTTTTTTTTGCAGACTGATACATCATGATAAAACAGTTTACCCCAGAAATGAAAGGTTGGTTTTACATTCAGCAGTCGATCACTATTACTCATCATATTAACAGAATAAAGAAACAAAATCACAGGGTCTTGAATATGAATAAAAAAGCACATGACAAAATTTAAAAAGTCATTCGTGACCAAAAAAAAAAAAAAAAAAACCACTCTAATCCAACTAGGAATCGAAGAGGAACTTCCTCTATCTGATAAAGGATATTAATAAAAATCTTACAGTTGATATAATGCTGAAGGACAAAGTAGTGTTTTCCCTCTAAAATTGAACACAGGGCCAAGATAACCTCTCTGAAAGTTAAAGAGGTGTCCCTCACCAATGGAATATGGCAAGAAAATGAAGTAAAAAGGATATTTATTTGCATAGAAAATTCTAAGGAATTCATAAGCAATTACTAGCGATAATGTAGAAATTTGAAAATGTTGCAGGATTATGACCATATACTAAGGTCAGTTGCTCTTTTATGTACTAGCAGCAAACCAACTCTTTATAATGAAATCTTACAAATCCAATTATAGGGTTAGGTGGAAGATTATTGGTTGGTTGGTATACATTTGTAGAGGTGTGAACCTATGTTCCAAAAACATACACAGTGTTATAAATTAATGTTGCCTCAATAAACATAATTAAAAAATTAAAAAATCCATTTTCAAGAGCAATTAGAAAAAATTAGCATTCTCAGAAATAAATTAACCACAAATATACAAGACCCCACTAAAAGTTATAAAACACTGCTGAGAGAAATTAAAGAAAGCACAAATAAATGGATATATATAACTTTTCCCTTTAAAAAAGAACAAATTGCAAAATTTGCAGTACCTGAATTCAAAATTTACTAAAGCTGCAGTATTCAAGACAGTTTGATACTGGCACAAGTACTGACAATTACCAACAGAACAGATTAGAGTGTCTGGAAATAGATACACTCAGGCAATCACTTAATTTTTAACAAACAGCAGAGTAATGCACTAGGGTCAAGCAAAACCTTTTCAATGAAAGGGACAGGAACAATTAGATATTCAACTACAAAGTTTATTTATTTATTTATTTTTTAATGCCACATTAATTTTTTTTGAAGATTTATTTTTTATTTATACAATATCTGGGGTACAGGCCATGGGCATGGGAGGGTGAGAGGATTCACCAGATACTGAATGGGGAGCAGAACAGGCAGACAGACCAAAAGCACTGCTGAGGGGAGCAGCAGGCAAGGCAGGAGAAGTCTGCCGCTCCATGTGGGTTTCTCCCTCATAGGCTGGGAATCGAACCAGTGCTGCAGAGGCTGTGACAGCTTTACATCACTGTGCTTAACCCACTGTGCCACCGGGGAGGCCCTGCAAAGTTTATTTAAAAGGAACCTGAATATTCTTCAGCACTGCTCTTATCCAACAACACACTCTGCTCTTACCCTTTTCTAGAGACACATTAGTAATGTATCACTAATGATGAGTATCAACAATCAAGATATTGTTTCCACTATTCCAGTGCTATTCCTGCTACAGGGATAGCACCTTATCTTTATAAAAATAACCTTTTTACATTATTAAAATAACAGTAGTCATTAATAACAGTTCCAGCAGTAAAATAAAAAGCACACAATAATTGTCCATTACCATACAACCCAGGAATCACTGAAACTGAGATGATATTTTTAAACTTCTACAAATGATATCATAAAATTTGTATAGTGCCTTTTTATCTAATACTATTTTTGTACTTCTCGTTTATGATTTGCTGCAGGAGGAATTGTTGCCCCAGCCAGATAAGATACTGACAAGCAGCTAAGAGAAAGGGCCTCACACCTTGGGGCTGAAGATCTGGCATCCCTTTGCTTTTTGTTCTTGGTCATAGAGAGAGAAAAATTTATCAGAAAGTATATTAGGCAATAAATTATATGTATCAGCATACTGTAAGTAAATAGCTTGGAAAATTGTTTGTTTAGAAATTAGTTGTTGGGCTGTTTGGCTCACTTGACAATGGGAGATGGTTTGTTGTGCATGCCTGACAAGCAATCCAGCACAACAGTTGTAGTGGGTCCTTCTTTTGCCTTCTCTTGAAGTTTCTTGGGAAAGTTTTTAAATGAAGCTATTTGAGTTAGGAGTTTCTAAATAGAAAAAAGTTCTGATAGCTGAGTAGCAGCCGTCCCGGCTGAAGGCCATGCGAATAAGAAAAGTCTTTTCTTGCTTAGGCTTTAGCTGATAGGGATGTACTGGCGGCTATCCACTGTCTTAGGTTATTGTTTAGCTAAAACAATAAGTTCTAGTGTAAGGCTTAGTTTTTTATTAACCTTGAAGGTGCCTTCTTGCTGAGAGCACATAGTGGCCAAAAGCCCATAAAAAAAGAGATGCACTGATTGTTTCTGCTTTGTTTCTATGCACATGATAATGTCATCTCATGGCTTGCAAAAAATGTATAAATAAAGACTGCTGAGCCTCTCGGCACCTCACCAAGTGTCAGTGTCTCCTCATTCTACCTCACCCCCTTCCCCTCAGCCCTTTCGTTTTCGCCGATGCCCTCTCTTCCTTTCAGGAACCCCTGACAAGACATTTTGCCGGAGGCTGGTCCCCGGCAGCAAGCAGCCTGTCACAGTTGCTGCTCCCGGTATCCAGCACATTCAGCCCCAGAACTTGCTATCAGGCCCTGGTGTGGCAGGCTGCGCCTCCCATTCTGTCACTTGACAAGGTCCTGGCATTGGGGGAGACTCCCAAGAAGCGGGGAGTTCCTGTGCTCCCCCAAAGAGGGGAAGTTGTACTTCCCAGAAGAAGGAAGTTCTTGCACTTCCCAAAGAAGAACTGAACTAGGGAGTCTCCATGGCAACGCCTGCTAATGCTCTTCTCTTTGTTCTTGGTTAATGCTGAAGTAAGTTAGTTATAAATTGGCCTGTGAAAACCTAATTCGGACCCAGGTGACAACTGGCTTACTGTTCTTACGCATGAACTATCACAAAAGAAGTAAAAAATTGTTTAAGGTATAGTTAGGAAAGAAATGTTTCGGCCCTGAGAACTATGGAGAACAAGCTGCCCTGAACCAGCTGTGCTTGGAAACCATAGCCTAACCTGGGGGGTACTTGTTTGTGGCAACAATACATTTCCTGGTGTATGAGGTCAATAAATCGCAGGCCATGTGGAGGTTAGGAATTTCTAGTTAAGAGTTAGACTTCAGTAGAACTTAGGTAGATTTGATGAATTGTTTTAAACCACTTTGAAGTAATTAATATATTAACCACATTAATTGAGTGCTAGGAAATAGATTGATTTTAGTAATTGAATATAGAATAGGTATTTTACACCCACGTTTGTAATTGGGAAAGTTTAAATGTTGCCAAATGTTGTGCTGTTGATCATGCTAGTAAATGAGCTATACCTAGGAAACTAATTGTTCTTAGGTTACCAAAAAAATGGCCTACAGGTGTAAGGCCAAGGGAATCTTTACATGATCATGAGAAAATATGTATTGATTGTCTTTGCTCTGCTTCAGTGCTTATGCTGATGTAATCCCACCGCTGGCCTTAAGGTATAAAGACCCGCTGAGACCCTCAGCAGGAGATACTTGCATGAACTAAGGTGTCTAGTCTACCTCACTTCTATCTCGCTCCACTTCCCTTAGCCCTCTGAGAAAGAGGAAAAACTTCACCAACTCCGTCCTCTCCTTTCTGAGATCCCTGACACGAATTCTAGCTGGAGCTGGTCTCCAGCACCCTGGCCTCACCCAGACACTACACTACCATAGTGAGTTTGCATAAATTCAGCAAGAACAGAAATCATTATGCAGACTTTTAATTTTGTTTTGTTGGAACTTCATATAGGAACCCTCAGACTGAGAGCTCCTAAAAACCAGGAGTCAGGGCTCAGGACCACGCCAAGATCTCACCATCAGATGTGGCCTACGGTACCTGTATCTTCAGGGAAATCCCTCTCGAGGGTCCCGAGACATCTGGGGTTTCTGGGCCTGTCAAGGGACTTCTTACCCTCATGATAGACCCTTTGTACCCCTAAAACAGGTGCCAGGATATCGTATCTTTGTATGCTCTGAGATCAGTTTGGTTTCTGAAAACACAGCATTCCAGACAAAGCCTTGGTAAAATCCCTGTATTTCCAATGGTCTATTAAAGCGGGGGGGAGGGGGGGGGCGCGGGGAGGGTAGGGGGGAGGAACATTATTGGATTTGTTCAAACACACATTTTGAAACCTGAAATCAGAACATTTAGTAAAAATTTTACATTTTGGGGGGAGAGAGAGAAAAGCAACTGTTTCGGCTTGCTCATAAAAAGATACAAGATTTATGAGTCAAGATTTGCAGTTATCTTTAGTTTCAGGAAAAACCTGTATTTTTTTTTCCTTAGTGTGAAAGAACTTTAAAAGGTTTAATGTGAATGGAGAGAAAAGAGAAGAAAGAACACTGGCAATAAAACACCCAAAGTTCTCCATCCCCTCGTTGGTAAAGACCCAACCACACAGCCTTGGCCCAAAGCTGGGCCACTGCAGCCTGAAAGGCCCCCCAAGTCTCAGGCACCTTCAGGTGGGGACCTGGGAAATGGATGGAAGGACCCAGAAAGTCTGGGCCAAAAGGAGCAAAATTAAAGTACAAGACAAGGGAAAGGTCACTCTCCCCATGGGTCTCTTTCAGGCGTCTTCTTCCACGCATCTAAGTTTCTGGTTCAAGTTTCCAAGAAGCAAGGTGGCTTTTCCACAAGTCTCTCTCCTGTGTGTCTCCCGGTGCTCTCTGCTCTGACAAACCTTCAAGTTCTGAGAAAATCGTCCATCAGAACAGCCGGTCCCAGCTGACATTCCTTGCGGCCGTCATGATAAGCCCCAGAACCAGCCGTCAGCCTCCTGGTTATCTTGCCCCTGGTACATCAGAGGGCACCAGTGTCTGGCACTCTTTGGGGCATCATCAGGGCAGGAATCTCAGTTTAAAACAAGAGCTTTAGTTAAAAGAAAACAGATCATGAGTCATGTAGTGTGTATGTGCAGCCTGTGTGTGCGCAGATTCCTGTACTAGGTATGGGCCCTCCCTCCCTGGCTCCCTCTCAGAAGGACAGAACTGAGGTAGATGACGGGGCACTGCCTGTGGTTCTCACCTGTGTGGTCAGTTGCAACCACTCAGGCTCAGGGAACAGCAATGAGGTTTCTTTAACAAACAGGAGAGCAGGGAAATAAAGATTCTCTAAGGCCTCAGTGGCCAGCTATGTCACCCCAGATAGTGTCCACAGTGTCCAATAGTCCCAAACTAAGGCTGCCTGTGTAAGGTGGTACAGTCCCATCAGGGAGGGCCTGGAACTGGTGGCACAGCTACCAAGCACTGGGCCAGGTTCCAAGTCCCAGTGGCAGCTGGAGATGCTCCCACGGGGTGCTCCCCTTTGAGGAGACACCCCAACAGGCACAGCCTCAGTCTGAATGCCAGGCTGGATGGGAAGGAGGCCACAGCACCGAGAGGTGGTGCTGGACACTCAGTAGCAATGACAGGTCTCAAAGGTGACCTTGCTGCTGTAGCCCTATCTGAATTCTGTATTTGTGTTTCTTTGTTTGGCACAGAGCCTTGGCATTATTAAACAAAGTGAATTTTTCTTAATGAATGTGGGGGGTTAAAGCAAAAGGATATAACCTTGTCCCCTCAATAATTTACTTTCTCTCCACCTTTTTCAAAATTATTGTTCAGAAAACATAAGTTACAGATTCGCTGGCTGGAAAGACACAGTCACCTCTTAGGTCACCCCTGGTATTTACGCAGGAGGTTGGTTTCTCTTGGTCTCTCAGCATGACCATCCCTCAGTAGGGTCCTCAATGCGGAGTTTCAAATGCTACCATTGCTACGTCTCCTGGCTGGATGTAGATTATTTCCCCTCATTAAAAATATTTAATAATGGGCCTCCCCTGGTGGCGGAGGCAGTTGGGCGCAGCGCTATGGGCTGTCTGCAGCATCTGCGGCGCCAGTTCCATCCCGGCCGGCTGGCAAGGGTGTCACTGGCGCAGCAGACCTCTCCTGTCTCGCCTGCTGCTCCCCCCAAGAGTGTATTTCGTCAGTCTGCCTGTTCTGTTCCCCGCTCTGTCTCTGGTGGGTCCTCTCACCCTCCCGCACATCTGGCCTGTGCCCTGGTTCTTGTATGAATAAATAAATAAATCTTTAAAAATATTTAATAATTGGGCAACAATCTGCTCAGTCTTTATAAGCTCTCCATGGAATAACTTTTCATTTTTTACCATTTCCAGCTGGCTGCTGGGCTTTTCTTCTGTCACCTTCTTTTACATAACTGCAGCATCAAGTACAAGATCCATCTCAGACCCAGCAAACAGCAGAGGCTGGGGACCCAGTGGTGGTGCAGGCAGGTGCAACAAGACACAATGGGGGACTCAGTCAGTGGGAATCAGGCTTTGTGGTCAAATGAGTCTGATGCCAAGCTAGAGAGGGTCAGTTCACCATTCAGTGCTGCCGGGCCAGGAAGCCTGGGCTGGTCTGCAGCCCTGGTCAGCAAAAGGCCCAGCCTGGGGACGATCAAGGTTTACTTTTGAAGTTTGGCTTAATCTGGCCTTTCATTTGGTTTCTCTACATCCATACATAGGTGATATCATCAGGTACTGTCTTTTTCCTTTTGACTTTTCCCTCTTCCATCCATGTTGCCACAGGGGCATGAGTTATGTTTTCTGACCGTGGATGCTATTTCATTATACAGGGACACACATCACCTGTACATGTACATGTATGTAATATATGTAATCCCAGCTTATTCTTGATTTCTAACCTGTTTGGGGCATTTAGGTTGTGTCCATACTTGGCTACTGTAAATAGTGCTGCAGTGGAGACATGAGTGCAGGTCCCTTCACAGTAGAGTATCCTCTGTGAGTAGATCCTCAGTGTAGAATTGCTGGGTGCAATGGCAGATCCACATTTACTGTTTTTAGAAACCTCAATACTCTTTCCATAAGGGCTGGCTCAGTCTATATTCCAAAAACAATGTAGGACTGCCCCCTTTTTTCCATATCCTCCCTAGCACTTGAGTTTCTAGTCTTCTGGATATGGGCCATTCTTGCAGGTGTGGTTTAAACTAGGCGATCATAAAGCCACAAAATGTGGGCAAAAATAAATCCTGTAACACTCAGGCCAACACAAGGCTGTTTCACACTGTGGAAGAAAGAAAGTAATCATGAAGAAATTCAATGAATTACCTGAGTGTTAACATTAAAATAGTCCACTGCATTCTCAAGATGTCCTTCTGAAAGCATCTCCATCACCTAATGCCAGGCTCTCTGCCTCAACACACACCCCCACTGCAGGCCTCCAGAATCTCACCTTTAGGGACTCAGATACACTTCTGAGCCCTGGGACTCTGCTGCCCAGGGAGATCACAACAAAACTTGGTCACGATGAGACCACAGGAGGAACTGATGAGGGTGACTCCCCCATGGGCTCCATCTACACTGTCCCCAGGGGCTCAGGGATCCAACCCCTGACCCACACTTACCTGCAGCCTGAGTGTAGCTTCCTCCTTGTCCACCTGTGGGAAGAAACATCATGTGAGACCAGGGAGGAGCCAGGTCAGAAGTCCTAAAGGAATCTTCTAATCCTGCAGAACAGGGAAGTTTCCAGAACTGTGACTAAAAACATAGATTAGGACTCTGAAAAATGAAGAAAGGAGGTGAGGGGGGACTGTACCTCTGGACAACACACATGTGCACATGTGCGGATGGAACTTCCCATTAAGCAGGTAGGGCAAGTTCTCCCTGGGACTTGAAATCCCCCAGTTGACAAGTTCCCCCACTCCCTTCCCTACCTGAGTACTTCTTCTATGTCCTCACACATGAAGCCACCTTGTGTCCAATGCCCACACCCGCAAAGAAAACTGAACAAGCGAGGAGGACAATGGCGATGATGGAGAACTTAAAAGGTGTCGCTGGAATGGAAGAGAAGGTCAGACTGTGACCCACAGGTCTCAGTCTCACCTTCTGAAGGTCTCCAGAAGGGCTCCTGATGGGTCTGAGAACAGCCTCTGTTCCCACATCCCCCTCCTTACCTCATCTCAGTACTTGGGGCTTCAGCAGGCCCTCATGCTGCACATGGCACGTGTATTTCTTCTCCTCTCCAGAAGGCACCTTCACAGCTGCCCACTTCTGGAAGGTTCCATCCCCCCCAGGCCTGGTGTCCACGAGCTCTGTGTCCTGGGTCAGGTTCTTCCCAACTCGCTGCCAGGTCAGGGTGATGTCCGCAGGGTAGAAATCCAGGGCCCAGCACCTCAGGGTGACCTCATGCTCAGAGATGCGGTGTTGAGTCACATATGCCCTTTGGGGGCCTAAGTGGGAAGAATCGGAAATTTCATTCTTTGTGTTTCCTCCATAGACACTGAAGCAGCCTCATGTGACCATTCTCCAATGGACAAAACAACATGTTTGGAGGGAGGAAGCACAAACCCCAGAAACCAGCCTGGTCTGGGAGTCTGGGATAGTAAGTGAGAGCCCAGGGTAGGATGATGCAGGTCTCTAAGCATTGAAAACGTGGCAGGCAGCTCCCTCTCTGGCCAGAAGGGGGCGCTTCTCTGACCATGATTCCATTTCCCTGCGGGGTTGCGCCTCAGGGAGATCCAAGGCCCCGCAGCCCTCTTACCTCTGAGCTGCAGCGCCTCCTTCCCCATCTCCAGGAGTCTGGGGAGCCACTCCACGCACTTGCCCTCCAGGCTGCTCCGGTCCTGCTCTGCCCGACCTTCCTCCTCCCACTTGCGCTGGGTGAGCTGAGCCGCCAGGTCCGCCGCGGTCCAGGAGCGCAGGTCCCCGCCCAGGGCGATGTAATCGGCGCCGTCGTAGGCGAACTGATCATACATGCTGAGGAGGCGCCCGTCGGGCCCCACGTCGCAGCCCAAAGTCCTCTGGATCGTGTGAGACCCTGAGCCCGCCCTTCAGTCACCCCGTGGTCTCCCGCCCGCACCCGATCCCCCGCCCTGAATAATCCCAAACTTAAATGAAACCTAAAGGGTGAAAGTCCCGCGGGCTCTTCCCTGGTAAGGAGCTTGGCAGGTGCCACAGGCTCAGGGGGTCACTGAGACTAGGGGCGGGGGGTGGGGGCGGGAGCGGTGACCCGCCCCGGCCCGCGCTGCTCACCGTCCCGGCTCTGGTTGTAGTAGCCGCGCAGGTCCTCCAGGAGCGCTTTGAGCCTCTGCGCCGAGAGTCTTTGGTTCCGCGTCTCCTCTTCCTGATCCTCCTGCCCCACCAGCTCCGCCCAGGGCGCCAGCACCTCCACCCTTTGATCCGGAGAGTCACTGTCGAACCGCCCGAACTGCGTGTCGTCCACGTAGCCCACCGCGAAGTACCAGGGCTCCCCGAGGCCGGGCCAGGACGTCGCGGTTTCTAAAAGCCTCAGAGAGTGGGAGCCTGGGGGCGGGGAGGGGTGAAAGCCGGGCTGACCCTCCTCCCGGGGCGGGTCCTGAGTCCCAGGGAGATGGGGCAGGGGAGAAAGTGTCCAGGAGGGAGGGAGCTCCAGAGACTGAACATGGGCAGCGGGTCCAGAGGGGGCAAGACTCAGGGGGACAAAAGGAGGAGGCAGGTGGGGGGACAGAAAGGGACCAGGACTGAGGGGGCCACGGGGGTGACAGAGGGGCCTAAGGCAGCAGCTTCCTCTGCAGAAGCCTTTTCCCTCCACCCTACACTCACCAGCCCAGGGGTCTGTGGGGGCCAGAGGCCTGGAGAGAAGCAGCAGGAGGAAGGTTGGGGGCCCCATGACCAGCACTGCTGAGGTCTGGGGAGCTTCTGACTCTAGGGTGTGGGTGGAGACTTAACAGGGCGGGCAGTGATGCTGATTGGTTCTCTGGGAAGCTCCAGGCACTGGGGACTGAGAACTGGGGAGGAGTCACAAGTATGCAGGGCCCAGGCACTGCTGGTTGGAGACAGAAGTGAAACCAAGGGGCCAGTGGGGTATCCCCAAGAGTAACCTTCCTGCCCTAGACACAGCCCTGGAGTCTGGAACTGTAACAGGGTGGTCCCCAGAAAAGGGGGGGGGGTCCAGGTTTCCTGCCCCACCCAAAAGGAGGATGGAGCTGAGCCGGGAGAGAAGAAGCTGCAGAGGAGACTGAAGAAGGAAGGAAGCAGGATGGAGCCAGAAAGAGACCTGAGGAGGCACATGGAGCCTAGAGACACGTGAAGAAACTGTGCTTGCCTTTTGGTCGTGGACTGGGTGACACAGATGTGGGTGAGACCCGTGGGGAGGTGACAGTGGCAGCTTTTATCTTGATTTTGATTTTGCTCTTTTCCTTCCGGCCTTGTCTGTTGTTTCTGACCTTTTCTGTGGGTCCCCACTGGAAGATGCTTTAGACTTGTGGCAGGCTTTGGGGCCTTGCTCTGGGCCAATCCCATTTGGATGGAGTTCTACCCACAGGGGACGGGTAACTTTGGGTGCCTGATTTAGAAACTATATTCTTTGCCTTTTCTGTATTGTTTCCTAGTTGTATTAAAGTTCCTTCCCATTAAAGTCTCATATCTTTTGTGTTGATGCAGTGGATGGCAGAACCCATTTAGAGTAGGCAGGTTTTGGGGGGTCTGGGGTGCCCTCTCCCTGCCCTGTAACAGAACTATGAGAACCAGACTAGGGACCTGTGGCTTTGCTCTGCCCCCTCCTCTCCTCACCCAAAGATTTGTCACCCTGTCTCCATGATTCCAGGCCCAAGGACTGGATCAGCAATTCTCAGTCATTGTCCTTTCAGGATCCGTGTCCAGTCTTACAAATTAGGGAGGACGCCAAGTATAACTGTTACAGAGCAACCCTGATATAAAACGGGCTGCCTGGCTGTGGGTCCTCACCTGCCACTTAAAAGGGACTTATTAATACTCCACTACAGGCACACACAAAAGGTTAATAAAAGGTTTATTTACAAGGGAAAGGGAATTGAGGAAATGTACAACTCAGGGAGAAAATAGGGAAATAGAGTCTTTAATGCGTCCTACCCGATCCGCCCACCTGGAAACCCAAAGGCACTCTGAGAGCTGGCCGGATGCTTCGAGCTGGTGGAGAGCCAAAATGGGGGATCCCCTCCAAAGCCCACATGTCTGGCTTTATACCAAACCTGGCTGCTTAACCCCACCCTCAGGTCCCAGCCACCTTCCCTTTGGTGGTGATGGGATTTGGAGTTCCCAGTGTCTTTTGGCTTTGGTCTGGAGTGGGGGGTGGAGTCCACAAAGCCTGCATGGAATTAGCTTTAGGACATCCTTTTCCCCCAACAGAAGTAGTATTTTCACGTTATTGGGAATATTCCACTTTGATACTAAATTAAAACTATACAGGTGGTCCTGGGAGCCATGCTACTCATGTCATCTGACAAAGGTCGGGGCATGGGGCAGATTCCGGAAAAGTCAGGAATCTCGTTAGCTGACTCCTGCTAGAGTCTCCTCATTTGTTTATGGCTAGTTTCTACCATTGTTAAATACACATTTAAAAGTAAAACTACAAATCCTGTTTGATCAATTACTGAATAACCAATTTGATGGCAAATGGCACTGCGTGATACAAATATTACATTTTTTATAAAATTAGTAATTCTTTGCCAAAAGGCAGTAATTTAACATTCATTTGGCCTTACATTAACAAGTGAAAAAAACTTCTTGGAACAAAAGGCTGTAAACATCTCTTGGCCAAGTCTCTGATATGGAGATATGGTCTTTTGAGGCAAGGGCTAAATGGGGAAGGAAATTCTTTTACTTTAAAGTTAAAGATAGCATTTGGGTGGCAGAGGGAAGCCATGCTCCAAGTGTAAGAAAATTCCTGATAAGCCAGGAGGCGCCATAGCAAGCTCCTGCTAAATTCTTCCTGTTTGTTTAGGGCTGATTCCCCTGGAGGTAATGATTGGTATGGTAGCTGTTAGAGTATGCATTCAAGAATAAGTCAACAGCAATTTTGTGACTGGTTGAAATAATAACCATGGCAGCACATATAATGCACGTGGAAATAGGCAATGTTACAACAACTGATATGTCACGCATTAACCATTCTGGGAACTGTGGAATCAAGCCTAAGTATTCTTAGCCATTGCTTTGTCATTTTGTGTGTAACTACCGTTTTAGAATTTTAGGTCTTGCTGTCCCGGGAAAGACTGCATTCCAGAGTTCGACCCCCACCGCAATCTGGTCTTATCTCAGTCAGCTAACCACAGTGGAGCCGAGCAATTCGAGCCACTAATGGGGTCAAACTAGCCATAAAATAGAGCTGCATCTCGATGTGACCAATCAGCTCAAAAACTGAAACTGTGCACCCACCATTGTTAGGAAATGCACCTGTGTAACCAATGACTGTTTGCCAACATGATTTAATTTTTAGAGATCTGCTTGTAACCCTATATAAGATCCCTGTTTCCTTTGTTCAGGGCTCTCTGTGGAACAAAGTTTAGCCAAGGTTTCGCCATTTTGTATATCCTCCACCTTGATATGTTAGTCCTTGTCCAGCCGCATTCTGGAGATAGTTTCAGCACTCACAACCCTCACTCCACTTGGTGACGAAAAAGCAGACCACCCCAGCCGCCACTGAGGGCAGTCCTATCCATAAATGGGACAGCATCACTAACTGTCCAATCAGTTTGAAACTGTAACCGTGCACGCCGAAATGCCTTTGTAGTAGCCAATGAGTAATTGCCAGCTTCTTTCAAAATTCGCGCCTGCTCGTGACCCTATTAGAGACCCCTGCTTCCTCTGTTAGGGGCTCTCGACCTCTGCTGTTGCATCAGTGCGTGTCGTGGGCCCGGAGTCGAGTCCGTAATAAACTCCTTTGTGTTCTTGCATTGGCTGTCTGTGTCCTTGGGGGTTGCACTGGTCGATGTTGGGCACAACACTCTCGATATCTGCCACTGCATTGGTAGGTGCCATGAGCCCGGACTCAAGTCTGTAATAAACTCCCTTTCATATTTGCATCGGCTGTCTTTGGATTCTTGTAGGCTATTGAGACAGGGCAAGCTAGGGTTATTAGGCAGTTTTAGGACTTTGCAGGAGGGGACCTTTTAAGAATTCAGGAAGGCTTCAGAGATAAGGACGAGCAAGGAAATGAAACCAATTCTACTGGGAAAAACAAACATCCCAGCACCACAGATAATCTTGTTAAGGATGGTCCTGGTTTTCTTCAAATGATAAGATAAAGTGTAAAGATGCTCACCGGGAGGGCTAGACCATAAAGATAAAGATATAACAAATGGGGAAAGACAGACCTGTTAGATAAGGAATGTAAAGATCTCCCACTCAGTAGCAAATTAAGTGAGACAGCCAAAAACTGACCAATCACAAAGAGACTGGTAAAGCTTTAGAATAATCAGGGAAAGAAAGTATATATTCCCTGAGACACGACTTCACTTTGGCTTCCTTGCCCCTCCCAGGCCTGGTTCCCTGGCCTGGGAGTCCCACTTTATTTCTGCTCTTTTCCTTCTCAATCAACTTTTTCTAAACAAACCTGCCCTGCCTCTTCTCGCTTGCTTGCCTGAGCATCTGCGAAGTTCCTGCTGCAGCTTCGTGAGACACCAACCCGTGGGGGGGTCTAGCGGCTGGGGCTCAGCGCTGCCCTGCAGCCTGGAATCCGTTCCTGGCTGGGAGACTAGGCCTGACAATTCTGGTATCACTATGATCTCCAAGTCTGCTGATCTTGGGCACAACAGGAACCAAAAGCTATAACCATCTCCGGCCCCGCCTCTGATGAAATGTTTGTAGTTTCTTAAACAACAATCAGCAACCCTACAAAAAAAAGAAATTTTCCCTTGATCTTAAAGTTAAATGTGGAGACTAGGCTAACGAGATAAGTATAGGAGTAATAGGTAAAAAAACCTCTTATGTTAGATTAGGAAAATGCCACCCTTAATTGAGAGCTTGGGGCTATGGAAAAGTCAATGCATCTTCCTTCCCCCAGGTAACTTCCTGCCCTTTGTGTCCCCTAGCCCTTAGTTAATCCTTCACTATGGCAAACATAGAAATGTTGGTTTCAGTCACAAGTTTTTTGCTAGTAATAAAATGACTATTTAAGGTAAATGACTACTCTAAGAACACTTTTGTTTATCAACTGTGCCTTCTTTAAATCAAAAAATAATAAATGTCACGACCTCTACAGGAGGGCAAATAGATCCTTGGCTATTCTTGAGAAAGATGTGATAATTGTTATCTTCCTGCCTTAATGCATATGCTTATGCACTCTCATGTTTAGCTTGAAATGTATAAATAAAGGGCTGCTGAGACCCTCAGGAGGATGATGTCTGCACCCTGATCAAGTGTTTGCATCTCTGTACTCCCCCTCCCCCTCATTTTCCACAATTGCTTTGAGGCCATCCCATCCTTCAGGAACCCCTGACTCCCAGGCTGCTGCAGCTGGCTCACAGCAGGTGGTATTTTCTCAAAGGTTATTTGCAAAGTGAAACTTGAAACAGTAACATTGAATATTTCTTATTCTGTTACATTTCCATAGTCCTCTCTTGCATATTGATGGAGTCCTGTGCTGCTGGAGACCAGCCCCAGCTAGAAGTTTGTGTCAGGGGTCTCAGAGAGGAGAGGACAGCGTCGAAGGACTGAAGGGAAGTGGAGCGAGGTAGAAGTGAGGTAGACACAGACACCTTAGTTCGTGCAAGTATCTCCTGCTGAGGGTCTCAGCGGGTCTTTATTTATACCTTAAGGCCAGTGGTGGGATTACATCAGCATAAGCACTGAAGCAGAGCAAAGGCAATCAATACATATTTTCTCATGATCATGTAAAGACTCCCTTGGCCTTACACCTGTAGGCCATTCTTTGGTAACCTAAGAACAATTAGTTTCCTAGGTAC